GGAATTACCACATTACCACGGGTTTGGTGAAGGGTGTCTTGGTGTCTGGTATTCTGTGCATTGTACAAGTCGGATGGAAAGGCCTCGGGCGTCGATTTCTTACGCATTTTTGCTTTTTGACACGAACACGGACAGCACCCACCACCCCCGCAGACATGTTCCTTGGTTATTTTTTCATTTTCATTCGTTCCTTTATTTTTGTCTCTGATCGTTCTATTCTCCCTACACGCGTAAACACGCGTAACAGCGCTTTAAGACTCGAAGACTGGATTCGGGATTAAACTTTGTTTATTTCTTCGGCTTTTTATTTCGTCTTACACGTTTTTTTTCTTCTTTGAACGGCGTTTTGGGAAGTATTTCTTGGGCGTGGTATTGAACATTTTTTGATTTGCTTTGTCTTTTTGTCGTTATTTGTATGTCCACTGTCCTATCTTGTGCGATCTCTCATTACCATTTATATCAATTTTTGCATTTCAATTCTCATTTCCATATTGGCTTTTGCCTTGTTTGATTTCTTGATCCCCCTAACTGTTTCTTTTTCCTGTCTTGTTTTCTGTCTCATGCAAACTGGGACAAGGAGAGTTCTGGGACTAATTTTCTTCAACAATTTTTTTTTGGTCCAACACTCGTGGAACGTTCTGGTTGGCTATATAAACATATGAATCTATTTTGGTATATCTGATATCCTACGGGCTGTGTGTTCCAAACACGCTCCTTTGCGTTATGTATGAGAATTGCACAGTATGCGACCCTCCTGTATCAGTCGTGGCTTTCCCGCAAGAGGGCCGTAAGTCAAAGGCAACGGCAACGACAACTACGACAGAAACAACGGACTGAGGCTTATGTGTCTTTTTCCTAGCCGGGTAGCTCTGGTTTTCTGCACACACATAGAAAGCGACCTGCGCTCAAGCAATTCTTCAGTGCAGTTTTTCGGTCCTCATACTATCGCCAATATTATCGTCTACACAGCACCAGGCTCGGCCATACTAGACTACGAGCCACAGCTAGATTTTCGGCCTGGGAACATCCTAGCTCCAACACATAGTTGTTGCAAGCAGCGCATGCATGAGCAAAGTGAGGGACAACGCCAAATATGTTGTGGACGGTTATTGATCCGGCAACGAAAACAAAGCATACTCGCTCTGGAGGCCGACGCCTGCAAAGGGTGCACAGCGAAATTGGATGAAAACTGACACCAACAATCAATGAACACTGCAATGCAGGTCAGAAACGAGATGAAAGTAGCAAAAAGAAACGAGACCCATGCGTCTGCAGCTTGCATGCATTTCACAGCCTCATCAAATCACAGGCTTTTGTCACTTTGTTCAAACTCGCTAGTAAAGTGGGATTTCTCAAGTCACGTGGAAGCTATCGCGCCCCTCTGGATGCAACCCGCTGCCAAAATTAGGTTGGAGCTCATGTTTCAGACCAGGCGTCTCCCCAAAAATGTTTAGCGGCCTTTGGAATGAGGAGCGGTTGGTCGTTGCCCGGCCCGCAGGCTTTAAACGGGGCAAAAGTAAACAATCGACGCTCAGACCCTCCAAAAACAACCAGACAGAAAAGGGAACTGGACTGACGCCAGCCAAACAAATTGGAAATGCCACAGCTTCCCATTTCGAGCACACAAACACGCCTGCATTCCTGTTAGGGAAACTGCACGCAAAGAACGGACGACACGACATTGCGACGTAAGACAGGCAGCTACGCCAACAAGGCAGGGAAAGTGCGATCCGTGAGCAAAGAGGATTACCCGCAATCCAATCCTGCCTCATTTGGTATTGGAGACCTGGGAAAGAGCGAACAACGAACTCCAACGAACCCCAAATAAACATTGGCGTTCGTCTCCGTCTCTTCTATCTTCTCCTGTGTTTTTAACCTTTATTACTGCGCTTCTCTCTTCCTTCGCTCGTTCTTCGTTCCGCCGATCTCGACGAGCTACACTCCAAATCCGTTCAAGGACCTTTTCACTCTTGTCTACTACTCAAACAATTGTTCATGGTTTCTCGTCCAGAAAGCCAAACCATAAGAAGCATACTCAAAACCAGCCCGAAAACCTTACCTTCACGAGCATCCTGAACTCAACACACACTCCCATACACTCCTATACATTTACTCAACACAGATGGCCTCCCTAACCGAGGCCGATGTGGCTACGGCTCCCCGGCCGTCTTCCTTTTCAGGGACGAGCAGCGCAAGCTATCTCGACGAGCCACACCTGCAACAACTGCAGCAACTGCAGCCACAACAACGACCGAGCCAGCAGCAACAGCGGCCGCACACTTCGCGATTTGTCGAAGGCTCCATGAACGACCGTGCGAGTCGTGCACCGCCCGTCTCCTACCTAGGAGGCATTGGTGGCAGCAATGACCGTGGCAGCCGCACGCGCTCCCGATCTCGTGGTCGGGGCGACGGTGGCCGAGAGGATCCGTATGCCCACCGCGAGTACCAAACAAGCACCCGCCGCTCCCTGCAAATGGCTCGCCCGTCGCTTTCCGCTTTCCGCTCATCCAACAGCGCCACTGCCTCGGCAGGCACGTCTGCCTCGATAACATCGACAAACACAGCGGATACGGCGGTCACCAGTTCTACGACGGCGAGCAATAGCAGCAGCTTGCGCCGCCCACGGAGCTTCCTGGGGCCCATCTGGGACGGCATGACGAAGCGTCTGCATCGCCGCACACGCAGCACCGTCGAGGCCGACATGGCCAAGAAGCGTGAGCTGGAGCTGGAGCTGCAGCAGCAGCATCAGCATCAAGACCACATGCAAGCAAGAGGCCCAACGCCTGCCACGGCTATCCTGCCTGGTGACATGCCAAGTGGCGACCGACTTTCGCCGGAAGAGGTGATGGCCAACTACCAGCAGCTCATGCAGTCTGGGTTCTTCAGCAAGCGGGCGATTCCTGCGACGCGCCAAGGCCTTACTAGCCGCGGTGGCACCAGCAACGGCACGGATAGCAATGCTCCTATTAGCACGGAAGTACACGCTGCATGCCCAACCTGCCCGCCTCCACCGCCTCCGCCGCCGCCCAAGTCGGCACCGTGGATCAACGGGACCCCACTGTCGCCTGTTGCGCCGTCTCCAGCTGGCACTGCTACCGTTACCCTCACACCGCGCGGTACAAAACGTGTCCGCGCTCCTGCCGATGAAGGCGAGGATGTTGACGGCCGTCATGATGCTGCAGTTGAAAAGCCCGCCGGCTCTGCCGTCCGCTCTAGCACCGACGTCATCTCGGGGTCGCCTACCCGCAACAGTCCGCGGAAGATCAGCAAGAAGTTGCGTAAGGCGCCTTCGATCCGTTCGACACCGGGACAGGACGGCAGTGTACGCAGCCTTCGGAGCATGCACAATGCTGCTGCCGCGGCGGCTGCCGCTGCGGAAGCAGAGTACTACGAGACGATCTGCAACCAGCCCTCTTTCGACTACAGTGCACATGACTCGGCAGCTTCAACGACGCGGATCACCCGGAGCAAGTCTGGGCAGGCACCTGTTCGGGTTCACCAGGCTCTTCCGCCTCTCCCTGTGTCTACTGCCGCAGCCGCGGCTACTGGCGGTGATAAGCGTATTGTGTCTAAGAAGCGCAAGGAAACAAGCCGGACTGCTAGCTCGGAAGAGGAACGCAGCAGCTTCTATAACCACAAGTCTGCAGTCAAGCCCTCTGAACGTCGTTCGGAGGCACCTCTGGAGACGCAGAGAAAGAGACGCTCGCAGGCCGCGGCTGCTGTAGTGCACCAGGACCGTCAAGGCCGTACCACCGGTGATGCCATGATCCTCGACGATGATCGCAGCCGAGCACAAAAGGAGAAGCGGAATGACGATACTCTCCGCCCAGAACCATCGACTTACAGCCACCGTCCTATGGAGGCCCTCAGCCCTACCACCACTAGCCGTGGTGGTGGCCTCAGAAACGGCAGTGACAACGGGTGTGCCGCTCTGGCGACCCTCTCACCGTCGTCCTCTCAAAAGAAGCAGCTGCAACAGTCGCAGCCCCAAAAGCAAACAGAGCGCCCGGAGCCGCCTATCAGCTTCCACTACCCGCAGCGCGTCCGTGTACGGCGGCCCATGCAAGCACAGGTTGTTGAGGTCACCGCGGCACCCATGTTGTCAGCCAATGCTAGAAGCAAGCCCCAGATCAACGGCAAGAGTCTTTTGTTCCGCGAAGAGGACACTGAAAACCAGGTGCCAATTTGGCAGGACTAATCAGTTTTGCAGAGGCAGGGAACTTGTAGGAGTTTGCCATTTTGCTTTGATATTTGCAAGTTTTTGCGTCTGTGTTCTATGCTTCTTGTTTTGTTCTTGTTTTGCTGTTTTTATTTGTTGTTTTCGTTTCTATCTTTCTCTAGTTGGATTCTGCTTCGATCTTTCTTGCCTGTGCATGAATTTTCTGCTTTTTATTGTCTGACGAACGACACACGATCATGAGCCACGTCTGGTGCAACTACCGCCAATACGAAACGACGACGTCTTTTATTTCGACATGAGAAACGATGCAGAACAATGAAACGGGGGAAGACGCAAAAGGCAGCGCGAGGCCATGTATTATAGCACGTAGCCACGTGGAGGTTGATGTTCATATTTTGCAATTTTGATGCTGAGTTTTTGTTGTTCTTGATCAATTTCAGTACCAACCACACTTGACCTTGGGATCATTTTTTTGGCGAAGATATAAAGAAAGGGCGGAGTTACTACAAAGAGTGGGACGGCTGGCAATGATTGTCTAATGCTTCAAGCTTTTGGGAATGAAACTGTTGCTTTGCTTTGTTTATTCTAAAAAGTCTATCTAGAATGGGACGATGAATGCAGGTTGGGACTGTCACCTTTCTTTCGAAACAACTCGTGTTCTTTCCTCTTGTGCTTGTCTAGCTAAAAATGACCGCATATGAATGCTATTTACTGTGTACCACTCCTGTCCCTGGTCTAGACGCCGTCCAACCTGACCCGTCCAACCTGACCTAAACATTCTATGCTCACCATTACAAACCAAGGAGCCTCAGCCGTTACATCACATGAATGACGCCGGAGGAGGAAACTTGGTATAGTCTGGCAGTTCTCTTGCCCGCAGTATGGGCGTCGGAGGCTGTAAATAGGCCTCGGGCATGCTTGACGGCTTGCCCTGCCCGCTATTTTCGGACCACATGGCTATGTTCTGGCGCCCTGTGGGGTATACATCGGATGCGACGCTCCTCTCAGAGCCGTACCAGGATATGGCGTTAGCCGAAGATGGCACTGAGTACATACTATTTGCTCCAACTGAGGTCGACAAGTCTTTGAGTTGGTAAGTGTGCTGCGTACGAAGACCTGTCGGCGTAGGGTATTGTAGCTGGGACGAGACAAACACTCCCGGCGTAGTAGACATGGCGGATTGGTCGGAAAAATGTGAGTGACTGTAAAGACTTGGCATGGCCATTGGCCTGGGGCTCTGTGGCGAGTTGGAAGAGGGCGAACCCGGCACGATTGTCGGAGGACGGAACTGGGGTATCACGAGCGGTTCACACAAAGCGAGCTTCTTCTTCCACTTGGCTGTACTTTCCGAAGTGTAAGAGTCAGGGAATGTATTGACAAAGCGTACGTGAGGGTCCTGGGATGGCTGAAGGACCGGGTGGCTAGCCGTTTGCTGAGGTAGCTGATGGCTCGGTGGATAAGTGCAAGAGGGAGATAACATCTCTGTATCAGCATCGCTGTGGAGATCAGTCGAAGAGGCAGGTTTGGGCAGTATGTTTACAAAAGGCTTTGAAATGGTACGGGAAGCCTGGTCTTTCTCTGTTGTTGCTCGTTGGTTATTAGTACATGAACACACTTTGATAGCATCTTAAATGGGTGATTATAGATGCCACTTCAATGCAATGATCTCTCGTACCCCTTGTCTTGGACAGAATGCTGACAATATTATCGACGTTGTGCCATTGTTCCTCGTTGCCGATTTGGTGGCCACTCATGGGAGCATCGACGTTCTTGCGGGCGGTCTCGACAGACTGCAAGACGACATCTGGACCAAGGTAAGAACCGGGTGACTTTGGGGGTCGCGGCTTGCCTCGGTTATGGAGGCATCTGGTATGGTCCGTTGTTGGGCTGCAGTACGCACAGTCTGTGGGCGAAAGGCTTTCATGGTCGTGGTTGCTTGGATCAAGGCTCGCATCACTCTCGGTGCAGTTCCTAGCACTGCCTTTGGCCGGTCTCTTGGACTTGGATCTCCGGCTCGCCGTCGTCGTCCTCTTCACGCGGCGTTTCGTCGTCGACGCCACAGGCGTCGGCAAACGGAGCTGTCCAGTGGTGCGCCGCGGGCTCGCCTGCACTGTCGACTTGATGCCCTCGTCATTCCTGTGGCTGCTCCCCAAACGACTCGACCGACGCAGCGCACGAATATCTTTGGGACTTTTGGATGCCATGGTCGCCTGGTGTTAATGAGGAAGAAAGAAACTGATATAACTAGTAAACAATTGTATCGATGCGCCCTATGTGTAGTTGGGCCGAAGAAAAATAGATGGCGTACGGATGACAGAGTTGTAATGTTGCAATATATGGGGTAGTGATGGCGTTTGGTGATGTTGATGGCAAGGAGATGAGTTTGGCTAAAAAGGATAGAAGCACTTCATGTTGACATTCTGTCCCCCAAACGTAATGAAGCTCGGACGGAAGGAGTGAGGCAGCCCAAAGCAAGATGGACGACGTAGGAAAGGGCGGCGGAGCGCTTTATGATTTGAAGGAAGGAGCCGTTGACTGGCTTTTATCGCCAGCTTCAGGGAAGCTGCGATCGTTCAGTTCGTATTTGTATCTAAATCCATGGCGAGGCAGGTGCGTTCCAAAGCAGCCTCCTGCGGCCAACTAAAACAAAAGTAGAAAGCTTGTGCAAAATGGAAAGCAACAGAAATCCATGCAAACAAAACAGCCAAATAAAAGCGTCATCCAAACAAACCACAGTTTGGACCCATATTAGCTACAAGACAGCAAAACAACTTTCCAGGCACTTTACTCGACTAGTCAGCTGACGCTCGGGCCAGAGCCTCGTGCAGGTACGGCGGGAAGCGGTACCGCAGCTGGCTGGTGTAGGCTGTGAGGTCGACGCAGATCTGCTTGAGATCGTCGGCCAGACGCCGTGACGCTGACTCGTTGCCGCTGAACTGGCCACCGAGCAGACGCTCGCGCTGTTGCGTGCAGCACAGGATCGTCCACATGAGCAGGTTGGGCACGTTGATGGCCACCGGCTGGGCCAGACTCGAGAAGCGGGCGGCAAAGCTGCGAATGATGCCCGGATCGCCGCCCGCCTGCAGGGGAAGAATGCCCAGGTCGCGAATTTTCTGGAATGGTCGGCGGTCAGTCTCATCTCATACGGAGAGGGAGTGGGAGTGGGAAGGGGTTGGCTGCAACATACATCAAGGCACTGCGGCCATTTGCGGGCCTCGACCAGGCCCTTGATCTCGCTCATCTGCAGAAGCACACCGCAGGCAATGCGGGTCTCCTCGCGGATGCGGCGACGGAACATGTTGTCGCGCTCGTACATGGTCATCATCGTCCGGGCGAGCTCGATGGGGTCATCGATGGACGCCAGGCTCAGGCTGCTGCCGGGCTGCTGGGACGCCGGAGTGCTTGCGGCCGTGGTCGAGCTGGCCGACTTGTCCTTGTCCACCCGCGGCTTGACCGGCACCAGGCGCATAGGCTCCTCGCCAATCTCGAGGGCAATAGCCTCGCTCAGCGCCCGGCTGACAATCACAACGACAGTGTCGTAGTCGCCGGCCAGATGGTACAGAAGCACGGCATCGGTGGTGCGGCCGCCGTCGTCGGCGTCACGCGCCGCTTGCAGCGTGATGGCCTTGACAAAGTCCTGCTCACGATCGAGCGCAATGAGCGTGCCGCGCTCCTCGATCAGGCCACGGATGCGCGTGCCGTCGGGCCGGATGTCACCGATCAGCTTGCTGAACTCGCGGGTCTCGAGGACCAGCTCGCGGAGGGCCTCGTAGCAGAGCGCAGAAGCAGCGGACTGCTCCTTGGACTTGGCCGCCTGCTGCGACGACGACGATGCTGGCGCCTTGTCGTTCACGTCGTCGTCGCCCAGGCAGATGAGGATAAGGTAGTCCACGGCCGCGGACACGTTCGCGGCACGGAAGTCACGCGTGTAGTAGCCGATCATGCGCGCAAAGTTGATCTGCGGCTGGCCGCGGGTGCTGTGGCTCAGCAACTCGTTCGCGGCGGCGAGGCTGGCGTCAGGCGTACGCAGCAGGCCGTAGTACTCGAGGGCCACGGCGAAGTGCACGGCGTCGATGTACGAGAAGGAGTAGAGGTAGGCAATGGCTGGCTCGAACAGGCCTGCGAGCACCTGCAGGTAAAAGTACATGGCATACGGGCCGCCGGCCACGCCGGGTGCGTTCTTGGCAAAGTGCTTCTGGCCGATCTCGCGGATCGTCTCCTGAAGCTCGGCAAGGCCGTACGTCTCGTTGGCCAGCTCGGAGATGCGGTCGCCCTCGCGCGCCAGGTTGAACTGCAGCCAGATCCAGTCGTGGACGTCCGTCTGCAGATTGTCGAGGTTGCGGTTGCCGATGTCGCAGCGGCCAATGACCTTGTAGCAGGCCATGCGGAAAGGGTCGACAGAGCCCTCGGGGGCATTGCGCGCGCGCTGGTTGTAGTCACTGTTGCAGCGCTCTTGCATGGGGCGCTTGAGGCGGCGGTCTTCACTGGACGCGTAACTGTTGATGTAGCTGGCAAACACACGGTCGATGCCACGGATTTGCGTCTGGTTGTCGTTGACGTACTGCGCCGCCTCGGTGACGTGGCCTGACCGCAGGAGGTAGAAGATGACCGCCCACACATATTCGCCCTGCACCTGCTGCAAGTCCACGTTATCGGGGACCAACATCTTCTGCGCCGCCCGTACACGGATGTACGCCTTGATCTTGCTGACCACATCGGGACGGCCCCCCAGGCTCGCCTCCTGGGGGAACTTGGCGATCTGGCCCTCCAATTCCTGGAAAAACTTCGTCTCGAGAAACCGGTTAGCGCCAGAGAGGATACGCTGGCGGATGGAGACGGCCCCGGCGCTATTGGGGTTAGGATCCAAGTATGCCCGCGCAAATGTGCGTGGACGGGGCCCTGGTGCTCCGCGTGTCAAATGTGGCTGGTTGACGGACTCGGGGTCCTCGCCGACAATCTGCGACAGGGCGCGGAATGCCTCGATCACGAGAGCGGCTTGGCGATCACCGCCAATGCTCGCCTCGACAGCAACCATCTCGCTAAGAATGGGGAACGGCGCAGACTCGATGCGGCTGTCGTTGAGGCGGTGCACGGTTTCAGCAAGCCGGCCCTGCTTCTCTCTTGTGTAGCGGTCATCAAGCGAACCAGGGCCGCTCGCACCCGCGCCGCCACTTGCCGCATTGTTGCTGGCATTGGCCGTCTCGACGTCGGAAAACTCAGAGGCGTGGGCGCCGATGCGGCTTGCAGAGCCAATGACGGACTTATTCATCCGCGACCGGCCAAAGACGCTGCTACCAGCACCGCCCGTCGTCCCCGCCTTGGATGGCTGTGTGGCCTGCTGCTGCTGACGGCTCCGCCGGCGGCCAAAGCCGCCTGTGCTGGCGCCTGGGCCGCCAACAATATCGGGCGTGCCGTAGCGCGGAGTCCCCGACGTGCCGGGGACAACGTCGTCCCGCGTCTTGATGCCAAAGTGCTCGTAGATGCGCTTGCGCTGGGCCTCCCACTCGGATGTAACGTTGTCTTCGAGGAAGCTGTCAAAGTCGCGCACCGACCGCTCGAGGCCGTCGGCAATCATGCTGAGGGTCGTCTTCGTCTGCAGGTTGGTCAGGTAGGTGTCGACGTCAACCTCCGAGGCTCCCCTGGCGAAGCCAGCACCGACGCCGGACTGGCCACCAGTGCCAGGCGCAATGGAAGCTGCGCCACCGGCCGCGACAGTCGACCGCGAGGCCGAGAAGATGCCAAAGTTTCCCAGGTCCCGGACGGCCGCACCCGGATCGACCCCTGACGCGGCCAAAACGTAGTGTGCCTTGCCGTCCTGAAGCGGCGCAGCGCCACCAACAGCCCCAGGGGCACCAGGAGCACCGCGGGGACCAAGCTTGCGCAGCTTCTGACGCAGGTCGCCGAGGCCAAGGTGCAGGCTGGGCAGGTCGGAGCTTGAACCATCGGCAATGGAGTCGGCCTCGCCATCGGTGCGCTTCTTGCTCTTGGCGAGCAGGCTGTCGAAGTAGGCACCAGTTGTCGGGCGAGCGGCATTATTGATGCTGCCAGCAAGGCTGCCGCTGTTGATATTGTTGTTGCTGCTAGCGACGGCGGTGGCTGTCGACGCACCAAAGCCACCTGCGGCTTGGGTTGTCGAGGCACCCAGCGGTTTGTTGTCCCAGACGCTGCCGCCAAAGGCAGACGGGCGAGCTGTACTGGCTGCAGGGGTAGTCGAACCGCCGAGGGCAGCTGGTGCCGAAGGGCTTCCAACGGCCGTCGACCCGCTAAAGAGGGAACCACCAAACGACGGGGCCGATGCCGCGGGCTTGGGCGCGCCAAACAGCGACATTGTGGAGGTTTATCCGATGCCAGACAGCAGGAGAGGAGGGAGACGGGGTTGGTGGAAGTCGAGGTCAAGCTGAATGTTGATGTTGTTGTTGACGGCTGTCCGCTTGTGAAACGAGGGTAAACACGCGTCAATCCGGGTGCGAAAGTATGCGAGCACTTATTTGACGGATGCAAGGAAGGATTGCCGTCGTGGAGATGCCCGGTCGTCGGGGGGTTGCGTGTTGTGGAGGGGCGGTGGGTGGCCTGCTGCACCTTTGAAGCAACAAAAGGCGTCGGTTTTATGAGGTGGTGAACCTCTCTTTTGATGCCCTTTGCTTTCGCGTTTTTTATTGGATTTATTTTGGATTAAAATTTATTGAGCATAGCTTCCTGGTTGCTTGGGCTTTGGGCGGTGCTTGCCTTCTGTGGGTCCTTTTAAAGAAAGGAGCAGTCACCATCAGCCAATTAGGAAGTAGCGCCCTGTCAAGCAAGTGCAACCAACAAACGCAGGTTCCAGACACAGCAAAACGGTGGTTCATTCACACCAGGAAGCGGCGATTGGCATTCACCCGCAGCACTGTATTCGACATTTTAATTTTATGCATTTTTGCATTCCAATTACCGCTTACATGCTCATTATATCGTATCCGGGGCCAAGACTGCGTTTCTCTTATGTTTTGACCTCACTTCGTCCATCCCGCCACAGCAGCGTCCACCTTGCTGCGATACGCCCGCTGCGTCTTGAGCTGATCCAGCATCACCTCGTACTTGGCCTGCAGCAGCTTCACCTCCCTGACGTTGTCAGAGGGATGCACAACGCGCCCTGCTTGGGTCATGCGCGACATGATCGTCCACAGGGGCTCGGTGGCTCCCTTGTCGGCGCCACCGCTGGCAGCTTTGGCGCCCAGCATGGCCGCGCCGTGCACGACGGCGGCATTGTCGTAGCGCGGAATCACGACGGGCAGGCCGCACGCGGTGGCGACGAGGCTGACGAGCAGGTCGTTGCGGCACTGGCTGCCGGACATGAAGACGCTGCGCAGCTCGTGGCCGGCGGCGTTCATGGTGTCGACAATCTGGCGCGTTTGCAAGGCGATGAACTCGAGCGCAGCGTAGTAGAGCAGGGCGAGGCCGTCGACCAAGTTGTCGGTGCTGCTCATGCCGACGAGGGCGCCGCGCATGTGCGGGTCGGCCAAGGGCGAGCGGTTGCCCCAGAGATCACCGTAGAAGAAGAGGTGGCGCGTGAGGTGTCCGACGGCGGGACTACCAGCCTCGGACGCGAGCGCGCGTAGGCGGTTGTTGAGGTACTCGTAGATGTTCGTTTGGGACTCGGCGCTGGTAGCGCTGACCTCTGCAAACGCCGGGTGCGTCTCGACGACGTGGCGGATCAGCTCGCCCGTGGCCGACTGCCCGCCCTCGGCCATCCAAAAGTCAGGCAGCATGACGTCACGGTAGGGGCCCCAGACGCCGTCGACAAAGACAGCGTTGCGCGACATGGCCAAGTGGCAGGTCGACGTGCCGGCGACGGCGGCCAGTCGTGTAAAGGCCTGGCTGACGTCGTTGGCCTTGTCGCCCAGATCGACGGGTGCGCCGACGGTGCCGATCCAGCCGGCATATGCGTCGATGACGCCGCTGCCGACCGCGATGCCCGCCTCCAGGCCGAGCTCAGCGGCTGCCTTGGCGGACAGCGGGCCGACAAGCTCGCCAGCACTGAGATAGTGGCCGTTCTGCATGGGAGACCAGGAGGTTAGCAAATGTCATGTGGACGGCAAGCAAAGCAACCAAAAAAAAAAACACCAAGAAGGCTAACCACCCCGTTGACGCCGCCGACGCGCTTAAAGTTGTCCTCGGCCAACTCGCCGAGGCCGACGGCTTGGTAAAAGTCTTCTTGCCACCCCTTGACGCTGCCGTCGACGCCGACCGGCACAAAGCCTTGCTTGCACACAGTACTGCAGAAGCTGCGGGTCTCGTTTCCGGTGGCCAGGTGCGTCAAGGCATCGGCAAGGTCGTAGAATTTGCAGCGCGCAAAGACATCGGCGGGCATATGGTTCTTGAGCCACAGCACCTTGGGCATCTCCATCTCGACGTTCATGGTGCCGCCGACGTAGCGCAGCAGGTTGTGGCCGGTGGCGTTGATCGCGTCCGTCTCGGCGAGGGCGCGGTGGTCGAGCCACAAGATGATGTTGCGGTGATCCTCGTCCCCGGCGGTCTGGTGCAGGCCGGACTTGGTCACGGTAATGGGCTCGTCGGTGTCGTGGCTGAAGACGGCGAGCGAACACGTGGCGTCGAAGCCGATGCCGCGGATGGCGCTGGCCTCAATGCCTGCCTCGGCCACGGCTGACCGGACGGAGCCGCAGATGTGCCGCCAAATGTCGGTCGTCGACTGCTCATAATGAATCTCGTCGATGCCGTACGAAGCCTTCCACAGCCGGATGTCCTCAGACGCCAGGCCCTTGATCTCGCCGGCCGCGTTGATCACACACGCCCGTGCCGATCCTGTGCCGACATCGACGCCGATGTAGTAGTCCTAGCGGATGGTCAGTATGAATTCATGCTTGTGTGCTTTTCTATCTGTCAGAGAGGCCAACATACTTCGCCTGTGCTCATGGTGCCTCGACTGTGCATGCTCCTCGCGGGAGAAAGAGAGTAGGAAGAAAAATAGCACAATGGAAGCGAAGGCAACGGGCCAGCGTGCCTCTTAGAAATAGATTCCTACCGTACTCGCCGCTTACGGAGGACTCGCGTTTAGGAGACTGCGCTTCTTTCGTCCTCTTTTACGGCGCGGTCTCCGTGCTTCGTCCCTTGTTCCTGGCACCTTCCCCAATTTACTACGCTCCTCATAACCATACATCGCTGTAAAATATAGCGCGGAACACCGGCTGCCGGGTGAAAATGTAGCATGGTTCCTTCCTCTCTTTGTGGTCATAAGGACGGGGCCCGCTATCGCATCGTTTGCGTGCGGGGCTACTCAATGAAGCAAGTCCTTTTGGCGGCTGTGTCTCTGCATCTACTCACCCGTCTGCTCACTGGATCGCGCTTTCCCTGCTCGTCCCTGCGATTTGGAGAGGAGAAGAGGGGAGAGGCACATAGGTTAGACGGGACAGGTGCTACCGAAGCCAGCTCTGGAGCTGCTCTTTCCTGGCCAGACCCGTCTAGCGCACGCAAATCCCTCCCTGGAGAAGCCGCCGTCTCCGGACTATTGTACACTGTTGCGGGGCTCGGTGACAGCTGCGTACTGACACTTACGGAACGCATGCTGGGCACTGCTGCGAACGATATGCAGTAGCTCAAAGGATTTGTGGGCATTTTGGTCACTTGGGCCTAATGGGTCGACTGGTGTATCTTATCCGGATGAAGTCCGGCGATTATGGCTGGAGGATTTGGCTGAGGGCAGCGCTTTGTGGTGGCTTGGCTGTAATCTTAGGATGTCTGACAACCTTGTTAAACGAGCGTCTGCCTAGCAACTCAGATCATCCTAGACGAAGAGAGGAGTCTTCAATGATCTACATGATGAATGCAGGTCGTGTGTGAATTGGATAGCTGCAGATTTGTGAGAGCGGCCCACTATGAGAAACCGAGTCCACTGAGAAGGCAGGCGCGCCTAGACAAGAAAGAAGTCCACTAGCGTCTCGTTGGGACCCTGCATCTCAACCTCATCTCATGCCTCGAAACAGCTTTCATCATAGCGACTTTGCAACGAACATCGTCTGTAGCTCACGCCACACATTACGCAACGACTCGGCCACACTCAAACGCGCCGTATACAGCTTTTTGTGGCCATGACAGGAGCTGCACCTGCGCAAGACAGCTCGCTGTGGGAAGACGCGGCCATCGCCAATTCGTGGGACCGTGTCGTTGGCGACTACAAGGTGCGTTGCCCATTCGTCCCAGAGCCACATCTCCATATACCTCACCACGTCTTGACCACCATCACTGACTTGGGCACCTCAGATCTTCCACGACGTCCGGGCGCGTGGAGGCACTGTTGGCGACCTGCAGGCGATTCTCGGAAATGATCCACCGCGGTAAGTTGATACATAACAAAGTCATGAAGAGGATCTCAAAAAATGTCACGCGATTTTATGGCCAGAAGTTGTTTAGGAGAAACATAAACTGTTTGCACTACGAAAAATCTTGAGATCCGTTTGGACCAGCACACAGATGAGAGACGGCGGGAGCAAAGGTGGCAATGAAAGACCAAACTTGTTTCATCTTCGGTCCTCGGAGGTCCAACCACTACATCTCTACTTTTTCTCCTTTCTTCTCTCCCTCTCGCCACTGTGTCACATCCTTGGCGAAACAAAACGCCGCATGTTTCTTGTTGCCGCCTTGTCCTCTTGATTTGATTCTCTCGTTCTATTTTCTACTTCCTATTTTCTACTTTCGTACAGTCCTTGCTAACATATCTGCAACCAAACAACACAGGTCACAAACGAGTCGGGACGCCAAGCCTGAAACAACCCGCAGTGCCGTCCAAGAAGGAGCACAGGGCCCGGATGGTGTGATGACGGCGGACGACGAGGGTGCCACAGTTCCGGGCGAGGTGACGGGCAGTGCAGCCTCATCAGCCCCGGAGCCTGCGCAAGCACCAGCATCAGCTAGGACAAACGGCCGTACATTCGCTGCACCTGCATCAAACACGGTACTGTCCAACCTAACCTTATACATTACTGCTCCATTCATCATTCCCCTCTTTTTTTGCCCAGCCAGTCGAGCGGTCTGGTGCTGAGCGGATGAAGGCGATCCCACCGTCGATCCCGACGACGAGAGAGCGGAAAGGGTCCACGACAAGCATTTCTGCTACACTTTTTTTCTTCTTTTTTGTTAACCGTTCATTGTTTCGATACCATGGGCCCCCACCCCATTGTTATACTTTTTTTTTCCCTTTTGTTTATGCTTTTGATGCGTTCTTTGACTGACATTCTTGGCACATTAACAGCCGCCAGCTTCTGTCCTGCTACCACCGCAAACCGTCTTGGGAGGAAGTATGTTCATTTCTCCCGCCTCTCTATTCCGGTATCCGTGTCCGTCGCATCTACTAATACGTCTTATAAAAGCGGACGAAGGTTTGAAAAAGCTGCTCATGTCTTGGTACTACGCCGGCTACTACACCGGCCTATATGAGGGCCAACAACAAGCCATAAAGGAGCAGCAGCAGCAGCATTCAGAGCTACAGCCATCGAACAGAGTTGAAAAAGCACAGACCGGACAAGCAGAAGATGGCGTCGAAGTGGACCTTGAAAATGGCCAAGAGATGCAACAATGACCAGACGATTTTTGAGTGCAGCTAGCTAGTCAGCGAACCTGAGAGAAATACATTGCTGAGATCACAAAATAGCACGCCATGGGGCATCGTCTTGCTTCCCCACCTCTCTTGGGATGCAGCTGCAATTCCGGATTACGACAAGCATCCAGCTTCCGAGGAGAAATTGCAGAGATGTTCGGCGAAACGCGTGCACGCCCCCAGAAGTAGAAAACGAAAGATGTTATGGTAGGAACAATGAACAAAAGCGGGCGGATCAGATGGCAACGGCCATATTACAAAGTAACGAATCAAAATAGGTGTACGCCGAGCGCACACTCTGGAAGGAGGGTGCACTCCAGCCATGTCTCCTGATCGACGACAAGCCTTGCCAAGGAAAATGTGAAGAGGCATGGGCGAACACAAAATGAAAGGGATATTTTGCTGCCAGCAGAATCCCAGTAGCACACGCACCAGGCGACCTGATACACATCTTGTTTCCAGGAGGCGGAACGCGAGGGCGGATTTGGATGCGCCCGGGCCTTTTCCATTTCAGTCTTTTGCATTCAAACTTTTGACCATTCCAGCTCTTCTTGTAGAGCAGCTGTCTCTTCAGTGTTCTCTAGCCCTCCTGCCGCGGGCAATTTTCAACTCCGTATAGCGACATACGGATGGACGCAGCATTCTCGGGTTCCATGGCATCCTTACGTTTTGCCTCATAGGCTTCATTCATCTGCCATTTATTCTCCGTCTCATGTACGACATAGCAACTCTTGTCAAAAACAGACACCTAGAAGATTTACTTTCTTTCCGAATCCCCTAAAGTCGCTGTGTTCACCGTTCCGCCTTCCGGTCCTCACACTCCCATGCGGTCATACCTTTGCAAATGCCCGGATGCCGTCAAGCCAAGAGCCACAATTCCGTCGACAGAAAAAAGGCCAAGACGAGTCAGGTTCTGTGGAAATTAAAGTACGACATACAAGAATCGTGAGCGTTCCTTCCACACAAACAGAAAGCTCGACTCTCCCCTGATGGAGCATTCAGGGGCAAGGCCAAGGTTCATGGCCAGACGATGCAGTTGCACTGGATGAGGAGCCTCATGTTCCATTATTTTTCTTTCTGTTTTGCGATGACAGGGCCCCTGCCCAAAAAGACAACGCCAGACCAGACCAGACCAGGCTTGACAATAGCAAAACTGTGCGCTTGTTAATAGTGCTTGAAGAGCAGTCTGGAAAGAGTCTCTGCCGGGTGGCTGAGGCGGCAAATACTGTTTAAGAAAAAAGGTAGGAATAAAGAGGAGGTGGACGGAAAACTCATAATTGGGCCTTTCTTACCTTGCATTTTGTATTCCAAAGCCGCCGGTGAAGCAGAGCGGTTACAGGAGGTGGGAAGTGCCGTAATTAGGGGCGGTCTAGGGGCCTCTAAAGTTTAGGGCCCGCTGGGGAAGGCGAGGTCGTAGCATGGAATAGCGCCGGTCAGCAACCGCATTTGGGATGACAGCATCCGCCCAATGTGTAGAAATGCGACTCATACGCAGCAACTCCTGGGGCTCGTTTGAGATAATTAGCCCAGAAATAAAAGAAGAAGAAAATCCATCCTTGCTGCGTGTTCCCCTTGCTCTTGCTTCTTTTGTCTCTGGCCGCGACTTTCTATGCGGAGTGTTAAACAAATGGCACAGTCCCATTGGTTTCCAAGAGGACCCATCGCAGAGCCCATAGAAGCAGAAGAAATAAAGTTCACAAAACAGAAGAAAAGAAAAGAGCCATCTCAAGAGAGATAACCAATAGACAACATGTTCTGCATCTCTCAGCAGCATCCGTCTTATGAAGATAGGGCCTTGAAGCTTGCAAAGTCCAGACGACACTTGACAAGTCGGTCGCACCTCCCTTCTTGCATTTTTGCCTATTTTAGGGTGTGTAGATATTAGAAGTCGGTATTTCATAACGATTATTTCGTAGGAAGGAGCAAACTGTCTTTGGTGCCAGTCTCTTTGGCTGCGGAAACGGCCAAAGCGGAAGCAGGCTGCTTTCGACAGGTGCAAAGGAAACGACGACCCAGACCGACCAGACACCGACCCCTGTCACCATTCACCGTAGCGACAAATGCCAAAACACGATCCGAGACAGATCTGCCACAACAACCATAAAACACAAGCCCCCGCGCTAGCCCAGGAACTGGCCCTGCGAAGCTCTCTTGCCAGCGGCCAGCACCTTCCTGTGTTAGTGGCCGTCGCTTTCTCACACGCAACTTCCTAACACGGACCTCCAGACCCTTCCTTCCCAGGAAACAGACACTGTTTGAACCCAAGCCTGCATTGCAACCCTACCTGTCCGACCCATTACTCTAATTTTCCCGTCGAGTCTGCATCCTTTCCCAGCTCTGGGCATCTCCAGCAGAGCCTCGTCACGACGTCCCAAGAGTCCTGCCTCTCGTGCTTGCATACTGTCCGGAGACACCTGGGCCCGGCCGTGGCAGGGAACACCCCTTGGCCGGATGATGCACGGCCATCTGTTTCGAAATTCTGGTGAGGCTCGAGGGGGTGATGCAGCTCTCAACGACCCTCTCTGAGAGCCACGCAGCTTCAGAGCGACCCCTTTGTCTCCTCGCCCCAGTCACGCCATTTCCTGCACTCAGTCCTCCGCCGTGAAGCCCCGCTGACTCCGTGATGCGTATGCTACACCCCTTACGAGCTTACGAGGGTGGCGGGGAGGGGATGACCAGCAGGGAATCGAAGGCAGTCGATGAAGAACAGACCCTCGAAGAAAACAGAGGAACAAGCTGGTCAGTAAAAAGAAACACTACATACTCCGTGCACAGCAACACCCCGGTCTGGGATCGTCTCCTCTTCTGAGCTTCCCATACCACGCCCAGATAACGTGCATGGATGGGATGTGGGTTTCCACTTATACACAAACAGAGAGAGGAGAACGGAACTCGGAGACAGGATCAAGCCAAGACTTTTCTTTTTATGTACTCCCCCTTTCCCTTCTCTCGTCTTGTTTTCCCTTTTCTTTCCTCTCTTCCCTTCTTCCCTTCTTCCCTTTCTCTCTCCTTCTTTCCTTTCCTCTTTTTTGTTTCTTATACCTGTTTCTCGTCTTCGTAATTTTCGTCAACCTTCGGACAAGACGTTCCATTCTTTTCTTTTCCTGCGTTCATTTCACTTCTCTCGTCCTATTAACGAGCAGGCTCGACATCCAGATTTTACCTTTCGTTCAAGCACCACCATTCGGAAACCCCTAGAGGAATCTTTTTGAGAAAGTCCTACGACACAAAAACAGAAAATTTCATATTCAAGGAGTCTTTTTCGGCGCCAAAAGCTAGTCTTTTTTTCTCACTTCTCTCTCTTCTCAACCGTCACAATGAAGTTCTCCGCAGCATTAAGCTTGGCGATTGCCCCCGTGGCGCTCGCAAAGGCCGTCCACAACGTCTACCCTGTCCGCCGCGATCCCAAGAACGCCGACAACAACAAGGGCGGACCTCACCCCTCTCGTGATGTTGGTGGTGTCGGCAGTGTCGGCGGTGTCGGCGGCGTCGGCAGCAGCCAGGTCGTCAACGCCGACGCCGCGCTGCTCGCCGAAGCTGGTTTGGTCTTGGGTTCCCTGAGCGAGATCGTCGTCATCTGGGTCAACGGTGGTGGCGGCGTGCCCACCACTACCATCAACGCCGTCTCGACGGTCACACAGACGGTGACGGCCGGTGCTGGTGGTGTTGCTGGTGCCCCGGCCGAGACGACTGTGGCGGCTGCCGGTGGTGGTACTGGAACCACCGCGACTGGTGCGACGGCCGTCGCTGGCGGTGCTGGCGCAACGCACACGGTCACAGTTGGTGGCCCCAAGGGTTTGGCGTACGAGCCCAGCAGCATCGTCGCCAATGTCGGCGACATGGTCATCTTCACGTTCCTGAGCCAGAACCACACCGTCTCCCAGTCTGCCTTTGCCACCCCTTGCGAGCTGCTCGCCGGCGGCATGGACTCTGGTTTCCAGCCCAACGCCAACAACTCTGTCAACCCACCGCCGCAGGTCGCCCTTCAGGTCATGGTCGACACTCCTCTGTGTATGTCTTGAGCCCGCTTTTGTCCACATACTCTTGTTTCCAAACCGAACTAACCAATAAAACAGGGTTCTACTGCCGTCAGAAAGGTCACTGCGGTAAGGGCATGACCTTCTCCATCAACCCCACTGCCGCAAAGACACAGGCCATGTTCCAGCAGATGGCCATTGCCCAGAACGGCACCGGCACTGGCAGTGCCATTACCGGTAACGGTGGCGGCGCCGCCGCTGGTGGCGCTGCCGCTGGTGGCGCTGCTGCTGGTAGCGGCACCGGTACCACTGTCGCTTCTGGCACCACCACCTCGGCTGTGGCTGCCGCCGACTCTCTGACTGCTACGCTGGGCGGCACAGCTGCGACCAACACGGCTGCTGCCGTCGGCTCGAGCGGCACCGGTCTGACCACGGGCACCGGCAGTATTAACGCCGACGGCTCCTGCTCGTGCGCTGTCATGTGCGCTGCTGGCTCATTCCCGGCTGTCCAGGCACAGGGCGTCGGTGCCTTTGGTGGTTTCGGTGGCTCCCTGCCGTCGACTGCCGTGGTCGCATAAATGCGTCTCCACGTGTAGGCGTGTTGTACGTCATGTTCATTTGTTACCCTTTTGACTACCATTGCGTCTTGTTTTCGTCGCTTGTGAGAGAGCCGAAAAGGCTATGTTCCTGGACTCCTTTTTCATGTTCTTTTCTATTCTCCAGTTTTCTCCTGTCGTGTTTTACTTTCCCCTACTTTCTCTTCCCTTTCCCTCTTCATCTTTGTCTCAAAAAACTTCCTTTATGAGGCTTGTTTCCCGGATGAAAAGGTACATATGACTGGTTCGTATTTTTTTTCTGGATGGACTTAATAGGACGCCTTTTTTCCATAAAAAACTTTACCCATTTTCGCAACAGCCAAGAAAAAAAAAACATGAAAACGGTTTCTTCAATGCCCTATAGTTGGTAAAGATGTAAAGCAAAACAATGCCGATGTAAAGTACGTTTGCAGTGCAGTGTCAAATCGAAGGTGTACAATCGTATCGATTTGCTATATATGTCGTCTATTCCAAGAGAAATCTTGTGCAATCCACCCATGCCGCTGTCTGTGTTGACCGGTAGAGGATATGCACAAAAAAAGGGTAATATTAAAAAGAGAACGCCAAACGCAACGCAGGTTCCTCAAAGGGTAGCAAGACTCCATACAAAAAAGGGCTAAGTCACGTCAGAAACGCCTCAGGAACAGAACTTGGAAGAGGATTCGAGGCACTCGTCACCGAGAACGAAGTCCTCCGGCGTTACCTGTTGTCCTACTCGTCATGATGCGCCCCCAAATCGGCCCACATTACACAGGCTTTCAATACCGCATTGTCGTGTATGCCCGGCCCATTCGGAGAGAACCAAAACGGAAGTAAAAGGACACCGGTTTTTCGATCCAAACGTTTCCTGTCCTCGAGTCCCCTATGCTCCATGTTCGTACGCGTCCCAGGTTATTTTTTGGCCGCAGCCTCGGCCGCTTTCCGCGCATCGGCTAAGAAACGAGAACACATGTGTCAGTTTGAGTCTTCATGTAGCCAACGGTCCTCAACGACGTCACCCCCTCCTCGGCTTGCCGCCAGAAAAAGAAGAAAAAAGGAGTCCTCACCAGCTGCCTGCTTCTCACGCATCTTCTTTGCCAGCTCGTCGCGGTCGCGCTGCATCTCGGTGCCGCTCTTGGTGTTGGCCTTCTTCTGCAACGAGAGAGCCATCGTTAGAAAGCTGTTCTGCCACCCCCATATAGTCTGAGCTCGAACGTACCTGGCCGGCCTGAGCCTTGAGGTTCTTCTCGCGGGCCTTGTCCCGCTGGTTGCCGCGAGCCATGGCGAAAGTGGCCGTCGGGTTGGTCTGGCGAAAACCGACAAAACAAGAGAAAAGGGGTTGAAAAAGATAAAGGACTAAGCGATGGTGTGCGGGCGTGTGCGTAGCGAGCGCGTGTCCAGTCGACGGAAATGTAGGTGAGGGAGGAAGAGGTAACGAAGAACAAAAGGCGGCAAAAAATGCGAGGCCCGAAAAAAGGCGCGAGAGGCGCCGGCCGCGTTGATGCTATTTTGGCCTTTTTGTACGGAGTAACTACTGTCGTAGCAGTGAGGCAACGAGAATGGTCAGGTGGGGTTTGCGACATCAGGGTCGGTGGGGCCTCTATCATCCCGGGCTACGCAGCTGTCTGGGCTGGCGCCACTAAAGCGATATGCTAAAAATGAGGCACGTGCAACTGGTAGGAGCCATTTGTCCTTTACAACGTTCTATCTAACGACAGCTCGCCAACCACTCGTCAGCAAGCCACCGATTCTGCTTCGTCTTTTCCACGAGCTGTCCTCGAGGGCCCGGACTAAAATAGGACACGATATAACAAAGAGACGGCTGTGGACGATAGCCGCCGGTGGTGGCCTCGACAGGCGGCCTGTTTGTTCGGCCCGCTCATGTCCAACGTCCGATACCTCTGTCCTTGCCCAATTTCCAGCACGTCTTTCCAGGTGAGCCTATCGTCTTGTAGGATACGACATACACACGTTACATGTGAATTGCCGTTGTTCATGTTAGTGGAGTACAGACGCCGACTGCCGGCCTTGTAGACGCGCTCAGCGCTTCCATTTTAGACCATTTTCGTCTTCTATTCTCCCGACATATGAGGTAAATAAGCGATTAGAACAGAATCCGTCAGCGAGCAGAATCAACAGATGAGCCTCTGAGCAACGTTTGGCAGCACATTCGGCGTGCCTCTACTTTGTATTCTCTCCGTGCTCCTGTGCGCCTTCCTTCCCGGTCATGGCGGCAAGTGAGGCAGGTGCCATACAGTTTAAGCGTCACTTGTATTTGTGTACGTTTTCGGGTGGTGAAAGGATGGCTGTGCAAACCAACAGCATGAATGCGCTGTACGCAAAGAAGAGGCGGTTCTACAATGCATTTTGCATCGCATATTCGGGCTACGTCGGCGCGTTGGCTGAGTCGTATGCCCAAGTGTGCTGGCGCTGTTGTTGTTTTACACGCTTCACACAAACCAAAACCCTGTCGCAGAGCCGGAAGGTCTCCACTTTTCTCCTCCCAAACAGCCCAACAGACCTGAAACACTGGAAACTGCCCTGGGAGCCAATCGAGGCCGCGCCAACGACGACTCTGAGGGCGACGATCTGCTTCCACACGACACTTTTATTTTAGCCTTGGACTTCTTCCACGCGCACGTCTCGCCCTCTTGATACCGACGCCAAGAAAGCGGCATGCAGGTTCCTCGTGGGACGTTTGGACAGCGACGCATCGTTTTCATGCGAAGGCCGAAGGCCGTTGAGATCCTCGCCTGCCCCTTCCCTTGCCTGGCCAGCTTCCATCGCTCCTTCTCCCAGTCGATCCTCGGACGCAGTACCTCGTCTGGACTTGCACTACTACAATTGTACCGCGATTTACATGGCATCGTACATGGGAGGACATGTTTCCCGTCCTTTTGCCAGCGATCACACCGACGGTCAATCGCACTGCTCTGTCTATCATCCCAAGACCGGGAAGCACGTAGTAGCCTCGTCACTTGCTCTGGTTCTGGTGGCAAGGTAGTGGTCTCGCTGGTCCGGCTGAAGGCAAGAAACACGTAGAGAGACACGTACAAAGTAGAAACCCAGAGAAACACTGGACAACAAGGGGCGTATGACCCAGGTTGCGCTGTGGTTATGCATCCACGCAACGACTGTGACTGGATGGTGGCCGCGACAGTGACTGCGAGTGCATCTACATATGTGCTGCAAGGCATGACTCCCAAAGCGTACCCGGCGCGTGACACAGTGATGCGACTATGAGACCAGGCTCGGAATAGGAAAAATCAGAATTTGGAAGAGGAAAAGAATGAGAGCAGGAGAGACGGTGTTCCTTCTCCGAGACGACGGCGTTTGTCCCTCATGGCCCCCTGTCTTGTCTCAGGCCGCAAACAGCCGCCAACGTGAGGGCGAGATCCATTCATACCAGAAGAATTGGAATAGAGCAGGACTGAAAGACATGTACGACAATCAAGGAGCAGAGCCCTCAGAGCAGAGGGCCAGTCCTTCCAGGCCCTGGCCCTGGCCAGGTGTGTTCGGCCTGGACCAGCGTTAAAATATTCATTGGCCACCACGGCCTGAAAATGCGAAACAAGTCGAGGACAACAGAGGACATCGACAGAACTTGTTTCCCTTTTGCAACCCTGAATCTCTCTTCGTCTTCCAATCTCGTCAGCTTGTTGTCTTCTTTCGCTCCTTTTTGGCCTCATTTTCTCGTCGTTTCTTTGGCTGTCGTCGGTTTGCCGGAGCTCGTTTGAGCAACGCTCGATGCAAGCGCGCAGCTCGCTCTTTCCTTTCCCACGTTCCTTCCCCACCAAATCGTACCATTCACAGCGTCCCCGAAAGGTCTCCACAAAACGAACGACATTCAACGTCCACGAACAATCGCAGGATCGTATTAAAGGGCTTCAAACACCCTCGTCCTCTCTTTTTTCTTGTTTCGTTTGGCCAGCTTCAAACATTTCTTGCCTGTCGCCACGGTTCATTTCTTTTGTGCTTTTCTTTTCTTGCCGCCCTCTCTTTCACCTCCTCGCCTTTGATTTCTCGTTGATAATGGTGACTGCGTCAACCTAAAACGACAAGAAAGCCATTGTTCACTTACCACCTCCCCGTGCCTTTGTTTCTTGGCCTTTTTGCTCTCTTCTATTTACGATTCATTATTCTGTTCGTTTCTTTGCTGTCCTGTTCACCTACTTCTCTCGCCGTTTGCCATCTGTGCCGGTGCACATACCTCCTCTTGCATACATTCACGCAAAAGCTGGTTCTTTTACTATATCTTGACACCCCCTTCTTTCTTCTCCCCTTTTCCTTTCTCAAACTGCAATTATCAACCTCAAATCCGCACGAATCCCCAGCTCTGCTAGCCCGATCTGAACGACAGCAGCAAGAATAATACATCAACGCCCAATCTTCTCTACTCTCACGACCGACAAACGTGTCCAAAACGACGCCATGTTCAACCTTTCCGGAAACACCAAGCTGCGTGGCATTGGCTACAGGGCTCTCAATGTCCTGCGGCCCTGCAATATTATCGCTCTGATCGCCATCGTCGCCGCCAGCTGGGTCATGATTGTCATCTCGGGCGTCACCGGCCAATTCTTCTTTTTCGACGCCATCACCCACGTCTTCACCTCCTCGATCGCCATCTTCCTCATTCTCACCGAGATCCAGTGGGGCTTCCTCAAGCGCTATTTTGAGCGCTCTTGGCCCGCCTTCTCTGACCGTCACGGCTTCCTTTGGCTCGGTCTCGCTATGGTCGTTCTCGGCTGTGATATGCTCGGCAACCTCAACAAGCCCGTCTTCAGCATCAAGAACATCGGCCTGCCCCTGTGGCGCCTCATCATGGCCGCCGGCATCCTGTCGCTGACCTTTGGCTTCTTCAACTTTGTGGCCACCATAATCTTCCGCGACGGCCCATCCGGCCTGACAGCCCGCATGATCCGCGCTGACGGCAACCTCGCCGACGGCGGCAAGCTTGGCTCTGGTATTGGCAGCGGCAACCCTGCCGACTACTACGCCGCCACCTCGTCAAACATCTCCCGCAGCAACACCCGCCGCTACAACAAGGAGGAGATGACGTATGGCAGCAGTGGAAGCAGCCTGGCGGATGAAGAGAGCGCTGCAGCCAACAACCCGCCTGTCAACCGCTTCAAGCGCATGACCCAGGTCTTCAAGAAGAGTCCGTTCCTGGCCCACGGCCAAGGCGGTCTTGCTGGCAAGAAGATACAGATTAGTCACCCGCTGCCTGTTGGCAACTACGACGACGAGACGGCCGGTATTGCCAACCAAGGCGCCAGTGTGGGTATGGGCGGCGGTGACTACTACAGCCACACCAACGACGCCGCTACGGTTGTCGATGACAACGACCACGACCATGACCGTGATCACGACGCCCGCAGCCAGTACCACGAGGACCGCTCCAGTCCCATCATACCCGAAATCCGCCGGCCGCCCACGGCCCAGCACCCTGCCATGAGCAGCCATTACAGCGTTGCCAACATGTCGCGGTTCTAGGCTTCTGTCCTGCAGGCCAGGACGGCCCTCTGCTGTCTCTCTCTTTTCGTTTTCCCACCCATATTAGAATTTTCTTTGTCAACTACCAATGTCCTTTACATTTGGCTCACGGGGCGTTCACTGGCGTTTGTGCCTTTACCTTTGTTGATCTTCTTTCGTTTGGCGTTTTATGCATTTCCCTTTGTCCACCCCGTTTCTACCTCCTTCTTTTTTTACCTTTATTCTTTCAGGGAGATACCCTACTCCGTACAAAGCAACGCGGACTGCATGGTCGACGCGTCGACGGGCGTTTCTGGTTTATTTCTCTGTCCACCATAATACGTATGTTCACTTGGATTTTACTTATAATTGAACAATTTCAAAAATAAAAATCGTGCTAAAGGAGTGAAAATTTACTTTATGTATCCCAGCAAAAGCCCAGCAAATTCGTGTTAGTGGGCCAACAATGCCTAATTCGGCTATTTGCGCCTGAGCCCTGCACTATCAAGTGGCAGCTTAAAACACGTGACTCTTTGTATTACATAACCGTTTAGATTCTGGCGCCACCAGAATGCGCCACCAGAATGCGCCACGAGGCACACTGCTTTCCTATTTTGCCAGCTCTCCGTCGCTCCTCCCTTGCAACTCCCACTTTCTTTCCTTCCCCCTTCTCTCCTTCCTTGTTTTCCAATTTTGTCCTTTTGACAAACCACCGTTTCGTTCCTTCCCAACGTCAACGAAAGGAATCAAGGACAAACAAATCGCTCAGCCGGCTACAAGAGAAGGAAACGAGGGAGGTCTCGTAAAAAATTAAAACAGGAAGGAAGGGGAACACAGGGGAAGGAGACAAGGAGCCAATTTTGGAAGAATCCAAGCCTCTTCCTTGATTTTGCTTCATTTCTCTCCCATCTCTCTCTCGCTCGTCGTCTTGCGCGCGTCTTCGCTCGCTGCGAGAAAACGGGCGTCAATTCGTGAACAAAAGCCTTCCGTCGTTTTCTTTTCTTTTTTTCTTTCTTTTGCTATTTTTCGATTCCCTTTTCGTCTTTTCGCGGCTCGCGCGCCTTGTCACCACAACTTGACAACTTGTTGATTCGCGACACTCCATCGCCAACTTTCTGCATCGCCCACCGTCTTCCGTATTGATTCCATTTAACGCTCGACTTTTCCATCATCCTTTCCATCAGGCCTTGCATGTTGCTTTGACAGCCGTCTTTCGTGGGGGACAAACGACGGAGTGTGTGCGTTTTCTTGGAAACTAGGCATCACCGGTATTCCTGCTGGCCATTTGATTTGGCCATCGTGTTTCCTCGTGTCCACGCTTCTTTTCATCAAGTGCAAAGTGACCCAGGTGCCCGGTCGGAAATTCAGAGACAGACCGCGCTAAGCACGAGCTCGCACACGCTATCGTTGATGCTGGCGACTCTTGTGATTCTGCTCGAGTTTCTATCTTTCGCTGCTAGTTTTGTTTGGCTTTGTGGCCCTTTCCGTTGGCCTGGTTCCATCAGCCGTGGAAACCAAACGCTTTGCATCTGGGCTTAAGAGAGTCGCAAAGCACACAATCAGCTTTGGTCTCAAGAAAAACGACGGTTGTCACCGATCTGGCCGTGCGTGATTAAGCACGACCTTGCGAGGTTGCAAACGCACCAAAACAAAGGCATAGGACGGGAGGGATAACGAAAACCAAGCTGACAAAAGAACGTACGTCTCTGTCACGCTTGTCTTGTCAACGTCATGTCGTACGAAGACCAGTCGGAGGGCGTTGCCTCGGACTTCCGGGATGCTCTCAGTGAACTGACGATGAACTCGCGGGTCGAGATCACCACGCTGACTGTCATCGCCCGGGAGAACACCGAGTACGCACATGGCATTTCGGAAGTGCTTCAGGAACACATTAAGAAGGTACGCCGACTCTATTTGCAGTCGCACGTAACCCATTGTTATGCCGCCGGCTGCTCTATATTCTAACCATCCTCGTATTAGGTTGCTCCTCAACGAAAGTTGCCAGCCCTCTACCTCCTCGACTCCATCGTCAAGAACGTTGGCACCCCCTACACAATCTACTTTGGCCGCGGTCTTTATTCGACTTTCATGGACGCCTACGCCTCTGTCGATAATGGTACGCGACGCAAGATGGACGAGATGCTCAAGACGTGGAAGGAACCAGTGCCCGGGTCCGTCGACCCCCGGCCTGTGTTCAGCCCAGAAACCACCCGCCCGATCGAGAATGCTCTTATTAAGGCGAGAACATCGGCGCTGCAAGCCCAGCACGAACACATACGTAGCGAGCAGCAGTTGCTCGGCCGTGGACGCCCAAACAGTGCCACTCCTTATCGCGAGACACCAACACCACCGGGACCCAGTGGCCGTCCAGGCTACCCTCCACAAGGCCCGTACGGCCAGCAGCAGCCCCTCCTGCAAGAACAGCAACCGCCGCAACAGTCGTACCCCTTCCACCCAGTAAGTACAAATCAGTTCGGGGCGGGATAGACCAGTCCGTCCCGCATGTTGTAACTCCGTCCGTAGCGTCTAACGCTTGTTACTCTCAACTAGCCACCGAATCAAACAACACAAACAACACCACAGCCGCCTGCATATACAACAGCGGGCGGTCCGTTCCAACCACCACCACAGCAGCCACAGCAACAGCAACCGCCGTTTCAGAATCCTTATGCCCCTCCTGCCACTCCTTCAAGGATAAGCTTAGAGTCGCTGAATGAAGATGTCGAACGGTTGATCCAGGCAACCAAGACAGAGTTTACAGAGAAGTCGTATGATGTCGGTGTGGCAGGGAGGTTGAAGGCGCTGCTGGATCTACAGACCATCCTAAAGAGCCAAGGCCTCGAGCACGACAAGCTCGTCCTAGTAAGAAATCAAATTGATGCCCTCGCCGTAAATTTACCTGCCCATCTAAAGGTCGGCATCAGCTCAGCGCCGACGCCGCCGGCAGCCAACTATCCTCTTTTCCAGGCCCCGCCGGTGGCATCAGCAGCAGGAGCACCCGCATCTGCGCCGGGTGGCAACCCGCCCTTGTCAGCCGCCGTATTGGCTGCTTTAGCCGCTGCTCGGTCTATGGCAGCTGCGGGCTCTACACCTCCTGCACAAACCCCGGCGCCGCCTCCGCCACAACCGGCACCTGCCGGTGGTATGTCAATCGACGGCCTTCTTGGGAAGGGTGCGCTTGCTGCGATCCTTGCCGCGCGGCAACAACCGCCGTCTCAACCACAGCAGCAGCACCACCACCAACAGCCGCCGCCACCGCCGCCACAGGCACAGGCACCATACGTATTTCCAAGTACACCGCAGCTAGCACAGCTGCTTCAGGGTGTGCTATCCCAGCAGCAAATGGCGCCTGCCCCTGCCCCATCTGCCCCAACCAACACGGCCAACCCGTTGGCTTTGGTGGACATGCTTAGAAAAGCTGGAATCCTCCAACAGCAGACACCTGCTCAGAATGCCCCTTTCCAGCCCCCGACGCAGCCACCTCTACCCCCAGCTGGCCTGAATGTTCCGGGTTTGGCCAATATCATTGCGTCCATCCGGAACAACGCCGTCGCTGCTCCCCGTGACCCGTTACGCGAGATTCAGAACGAAATTTCGTTCCAGTCCTCGTCTCTTAAACAGTAAGCCCTCGCCCACTTTTGGCGTTGCTGTAATCGAGTGCAGAATGTCCACTAACCGACCCTTCGCGCTCTATAGATTCCGTCCTCACCTTCTGCCTTTGATGTATGAAAACCTTGGCCCTCCTTGCACTCAGTGCGGACGTAGATTCCGTACCGACGAGGCTGGCCGTGCAGCCAAGACAGCTCACATGGACTGGCACTTCCGTGTCCACCAGCGCATTGCCGAAGCCGAGAAACGTGGGCAGCACCGCAGTTGGTACGTCGACCAGGCGGACTGGATCCACTCTCGTGAGACGATCGACTCGGACGGCGTCGACCATCATGGGGCCAACGGCAGCAGTGCAGCCGGCGGCAGTGGTGGCCGGTTAGCAGGCTCTAATGCTGCTGGTGGCGATGCCGGTGCTGCAGGGGCCAAGCTGCAATGGATCCCTGTCCCTACGGGCAGCGCCAACACCAACCAGACCTGCCCCATCTGCCAGGAGAAGTTCGAGATGAAGTGGCTCGACGAGGCGCAGGAGTGGGTCTGGATCGATGCCGTCCGGATCGGTTCGCGGGTCTACCATGCCAGCTGCCACGCCGAGGCGACGCGGAGCGACAACAACCGTGACCATCCAGCGGCTGCTGCCCATTCAGCCCTGATGGCCGGCGGTAACGGGCCGGTCATTACGAAACCCATCCCGACAGGACCTGCAGCCGACCGAAACCGCCACCAGCACGGACATAATGGTCCTAACGCAGTTCTCGGAAAGCGCAAGGCCGATGACGGCGCCAACTTCCACGGTAACGGCAATGGCAACCACCGTGGAGGCAAAAATGGAGCCCGTGGTGGTAGTGCTGCAAGCGGTGGTGGCCGCAAGAAGAAGCGCGGCGGTATGGGTGGTGCGGGTGGAGGTAGCAACCCCCGTCGGCCACCGGATCTGGACCGTGTCGACCCCGATATTGGCGGCGGTGGCATTGGCGGTTCCGCATCGGGCGAGGGCGGCGGCGGCGGCGGGCGGTTCGGCCGCAATAGTGGGAAGCACCGTGGCGGTGCCCACAAGGACAACAACAGCGATGAGCCCGAGGTGGACCTTAACGCTTTGCCGTACTAAAACCGTCGGCGGTTTACTACACCTATGTTTTGTTGCATTTTATTGCGCGGCGGCTTTTTCCTGTCCTATTTTGCGCGCGCCGTAGCGAGCCACGGAGCATCACTTTGCATTGATAACAATGGGCCGGTGTTTTTTTTCCCTTGCTCAGTTTTTGTCAGCCCGTTTTCGGGTTTCTTCATTTTGTGTTTTTTGTGTATGTAATTCTTTACGAAGATCTTGCGGGAATGCAATTGCATGCCATCTCTTATCACTCACAGCATACATATATAAAAGGGGGAAGGCACACAAATTAAGCACAGTGCTAATATGAACCTGACTTTGAAATATTTTTGGAATTGCACTATGTGGCATGGATCTTGAATGGTTTTGTAGCCGATAAACGTCTATTTTACCCAACTGTTCCCATCATCCCCGCCCTTTTTGCCTCGTCCCGTTTCGCGACGATCGTCTGGAACAAGGCCAACCTAGCAGCGGCCACTGCAATGGCAAACCGCGTCTCTCTTTTTCGCGGCCCAGCTTCGTCCCAAAATAACCGCCGCACAAAATTCACATCTAGAACAATACGTCTTAATCCAGAAACTTATAACAGGCCGTTCTTCCCTGCGCTCTGTTTTTAACAATCTCCACAAGTTCTACAGTATGTAAGCAGGATAGCAAACAAAGGGGGTGTAAATATGCCAGTGTCAAATTTCTGCGGCAAGGATTTGTCGAAACAGGAGCACATTGTAAATATAGGAGTGCCACGAAGATAAGAAAAAAGGGCATCATCGCATTTGCATCATTTAGAATAAAATAAAACAAAAATAAGAGTATACCGTCCCAATAAATCGTGGTTTATGACCGGCGCAGCAGGAAACACAAGAGAACCGAGCGCAGAATGCAAAAATAAACCCGTACAAGAACACCGCCAAGCCGTTTTGAAGTCCGTTTATAAAGAGACAATAGGCGACAATTAAAAAAAAAAGGAGAGAGAGCAACGGTGAGAAGGAGGAGTTTCAAGGCCGACACCAATGAAGAAAATGATGGGTATAGGTCGTCGTCGTCGGATGTATGAAGGTGGGTTATGCGGGCAAACGAGATGGTATATGAGATCGAAAAGACAGGGTAGATGCATTAAGAGTTAAGGGGTGGTGGTGGCGTGTCGTCGCCGTTATGGAATTAGTTGCTGCTCGAAGAGCTCGGCTCCTGAGCCCGTGTCCGGATGCGGAACTTGTCGCGAAGACGCTTCGCTAGTCTCTCGCGGTTGGCCTCGTCGCCGTTGCCCGTAGTGGCCGTGGCCGCGGCGCTGCCATCGGCACTGTTCTCGGCCTGGTTCTCTATACGGAAGCGGCGGAGCGCCTCGATACGCTCCTCGCCCGTGGCGTGGCGAAGGCGGTGGAGGTCAAAGATACGCGTTGCCCGGCGGCGATTGCCGGTAGCCGTGGTATCGTTGGAAGACTCGGCCGCACCGGCGTCAGGATTCAGGGGCGGAGGCATGGGCGCCTCGCCGTCAACAGTGGAAGCATCAGTCTCGCCGTCGTTGGGACGGAGATCCAGGCGACTATAAAAACCAAAAAAAAGGAGGGTCAGTATACGTGTACCAAAGAAGTAAGACCAGCCGCCACAAGGTGTCCGCCATAAAGGTTACACTTGGGTGTGGGCTGCGTTTTAATTTGAGAATGGGGAGACAAATAAAGCCGAGTAACGTACCAGAGTGGGCACGTGCCGGATACGTTGATCAGCCACGGGTCGACACAGGTAGGGTGATACTTGTGGTTGCAAGGCAGAACACGGACGTCTTCGCCGACCTCAAAATCTTCTGTGCAGATGGAGCAGCCGAGGTGGTCGCCATACTCGCCTTCAGCAGCCTTGCCAACGTCCTTGGAGGCATTGGCGGCGTTCGCAGTACCAGCAGCAGCGCCGACGCCGGCAGACGAGCCGGCCCCAGCGTTCACGCCAGGCGCAGATCCGAGCACGCCCGTGGTCTTAGGCTGTGACACTTCGTCTTCGGGGATCGTCGAGAGGTGATGGGCCTGGACATCGTTGGGGTTGCGGCTGTGGACGGATTCGGGCGAGCTTTCGAGCTCAATGCTCGGATCAGGCTTAGCGGGCGTATCGTCGCCAAACTTGACTATCGGCAGAGTCTCAAGCATCGCACGAGCCAGGCCCTTGGCGCGACTCTGGCGCGGGCGTCCGCCATATCCACTGCGCGGACCGTAGCGCTCGGGGTTGCGGTGGGCGCGGACGGCGCCGGTGGCAATGATGACGAGGAAGAGCAGGGTGATGAGGCCCGTAATACTATACAGGATGCTCATGGCGACGGCAGAGTTGCTGCCGCTGCCGCCACCACCTCCACCATCGGTGGATGTGGTATTGCCGCTGATAACAGCCTGGGCCACACCGTCGCCGTTGTTCGTGATGTTGAGGGCCTGGGCGGCCTCTCCCATGTCCACCATAGTGAAAATGGTCTGGTAAGCCAGGTTCGAACCAGTAAGGCCGCAGCAGTTGCCGACCTGGCTGTAAAGCAAGATGGCGGCAGGCAGGTTGCCCATGAGGGCGTTGAATATGCGGTTGGCGTCGATAAATGAGTTTGTCGTGTTGTCACAGTTGAGGTAGGCAATTTGGTTCGCTGAGATGTTGGCATAATTGGATTCTGTCGCCTCGATCAGGTTGCCTCTGATATTCACAGACTAGATATATTTGTTGTTAGTATGAGAGCTGTGTGACGCACCGTGCCCGGTGCAAAACTTCACTGGGTAGAATTTGTCATTGCTGCGGTCAACTTACACCTCGTGTCTCCTGTGACTGGTTCAGGCCCAAAACGGCAGTTAAGGGCACAACTGTAAATGATATTGGCAGGATGTCGGCGTCTGGGTCGGACACCTGAAGGGACATGGCTGAGGACTGTTGCCATTCGGGCACGGAGTCCATGGAGAAGATGGTGGCGTCAGAAGAGGAGTTGATGTCGGCGGCCACGGCCGAGATCGTGGCCGAGGTTGCTGTCAGCAACCATTTCCAGGAGGGCATTGTTGATGATGTGCCTCCAGTGTGTTTGAGAGAGGGAGTTCAGGATGTCCGCGCTAACGACGGTCGACGTCGCTGCTGGAGTCGAGGGAGCGAGTCTAAGACCAGGAGCCTCTCGATCGCGTGAGCAGATGTTGGTGAGTATCAACGGTAGATGTCTGTCTTTTGAGGTTGATGAGATGTCGATTGAGATGGCGAGATGTCAAGACGTCGTCGGGATGTCGAACTATGTCGAGCATAGGTTGCAGATGTTTATGTTTATAAAACGAAAGAGAAGGGAGGAGGCGGGATGAGATGTGGATGAGATGTTTGACGAGCTTATAAGGAAAGAAAAAAAGAAAACGCAAATAATGGGATGGGGCGGGAGGAGTACAGTGATTTGAGAAAACTGAGAAAGAGGACAAGAAGAGTGTGTGGAGACAGCACCAGCCAGGGGGCAGAGCACACGACGGGTTGGAATCGAGGGTGGAATCAATTGCTTAAGACGGTACAGAGGGACTGGATGAGGTAGTGAGAGACAGCAGATGAGAGATGAGGCGAAGGGAAGGAGAGGAAGGACAGATGTGCGCAGTTGAGGCACCGGGTTTGTCACATAGCCCCGTGCCGATGACAGAACAGATGTGGCCGGTGCCTTTGCTGCTCTTGCGAGTTTGTGGTTGAGTGGTAGAGTGGTTGGGTGTTTTGTGCTTATCCGAGTTTCTTGGGTAGAGTCCCTTGATCGTCCTCCACAGAGTATGCGCAAAGCACAACGCAGGCAGGGCGCCAAGCGTGGACGTGCCAGGGCCGACCAGGGTGTTGCAAGAGTCGGTAGCAGCACGAGAAGGACGGACGATCGGGGTGTCGACAACGATGCGCAGGATTACGTGGACTTGGGTTGGGAGAGGGAAGAAGCCAGAAAAGAGGCCGGAAGTCGACGATATGGCGATATGCAACAGGGCAAGAGGGCAAGAGGGCAAGAGGTCAAGAGGGGACAAGGCAGGTGCGGCGGACCTGACAATGGAAAGAGCGGCACGACGGGGTTTGTGGAGCAGACGTCGTCCACACGCGCGCACTTTTGTCACCTTCTCCGCACTCAGGACAAACAAGGAAAGTGCAATCGATGCGCCGCTACAAAATATAGCTTCTCACCTCTACGTCGTATCGATTTCGTAGCGGGGAACACCGAATGGCCGGAACGACCACGCCAGCGGGGCCAGAGCCAACGGTCTTGCCGCCACTGGCTAACGACTAGAGGATTTCTTTGAGACAGTTTTACACAGTTTTGCAGATGATGGCAGCCAACACGCGCCCGACAAGCACAGGCAAACGCAACAGAAAGCGAAGAAGACAGCAGAAAAGAAAAGACGAAAGTCTGGGTTTGGGCGATCTGCGACACACGGTCTGAGACGTTGCGCTGTTTTAGCGCCTCTGCTTTGTTAAAGCGGGTGACATGAGCCAGAAATCCGCTTCGTCGTTGATTGTTCGCTCTCTGGGGGAAGGACCCCCAACCCGGGCTCCACTTCCAAGACAAGAAAGCGCCAAGGGGCCAATCGAAAGGCTACAATTTTGAGCGCCCAGCTGCGCCCCCCTAAGATTCCAAACGTACTCAACTGTACGGCGTCATACGGGCCCCTGTCGGCGTCAATTTATAGTGCATTCTACGCACTCGCTTATCGATAACGCGGTAGTCGGCTGCGGGAGTGGCCAAATTAACAGCGGCCAGTGCGGCGAACCCGCTGCGTATTTGGGACGTAAGACATAGTATTAGGGGATTCCTCATAGTTCCAACACAGCATGCCACAACAAAGGCTGACATTGGCTTCCGCCTGTTCCGTTTGGTTTCCACCACCACACCCACACGTGAGGGACTTGACAGGCTGCGTGTGTCGGTTTTGATTCCAGCCGATGCTTCCACGATTCCGCAGCGCCCCGACCTAGCCTTGCTTGGCCTGGTCGCCCCGGCACTGGGAACATCCGTTGGGCGACAAACGTCAGCAGCGAAATCGACAAGACGAGAGCGAGAAACGAAGCGTCGGTGCATTTTGTTTCCTGTGTGTTTCTCTCCGTCCTCGCAGCAAACGATAAGCCAGCTGTCCGTCAGCCCACCCGCTGATCGTTTGGTCGGTGTGTCGCGTGCGCTCGCACAGTGTCATGTCGCGCCGCGTGATGGAATGAGAAGGCATGTCCCTTTTGTCCAGCAAGTACACGAGTGAGCGTCCGGTCAGACTGTCAAGGTGTCGTCTTGTGCGATGTTCTGCCCAGATCATCCGTGGAGAGTGCATTCGATTCTCGTGAGTCTGTCGTCGTTCAGAGTATGTTGTATCTCACAAAGAAATACGTCGTGCCGACCTCGTCAAAGGGCGAGTGCCGGGGAATTACCTTGGCAAAACGTTCAACATGGTTGTGTGTACAACAAGAGGCTGCATGGATGTGTGTGCAACCAGGTGTACTAGCGCTGCTCCTGGTATCACCGATCTGAGAAACTCTCATCACGGACATGGAAAAGGTTGCATGGGAAAGACAGCAGGGATGAAGGCAGCCTACGCTAATTCGTACATGCTCCGCGACAACACGTTGTAAAAGCGGAGAGAGAAAATAAAGGGGGAAAAAAAGCAGGGGCGTGTGCTGTCGCCCAGAAAAGGCGTTGAAACAGACAATAGGCGACTCTGTCGTCGTCATCGTAGGGTGCAACACAGCCTAGGAAACTGCATTGATCAGACAGGGATTAACCAGAGGTGGTAAAATGTGATGAGAAACCAGAGTTGCTCGATTCGCAATACACAGAATGGAGGTTGTCATGCCGCTTATCGCTTGGATGCCTCGTTTTGCCGGGCTTCCGTGCTTCGGGGGGGATTTATGTACTTTTCTTTCCTGATTTCTTTCCCCTGTTTTCCCCGAGCCGCCTAGATGATCGCCACCGGGAGGGGGAAAAGAATGCAGAAAGGAAGAGACGACGTAGGAGTGGGCTTCGTGATGTGCACGGTTTCAGATGCTAAACTTCCGGGGGGGATGGGCCATTCAAACAATGCCCCCCAAATGGGGCTGCAGATAGATGAAAAGACAGCAAGGAGAGAGGGCAGCCAAGCCATACACCGGCTTTCGAGAAGAAACGAGAGAACAGACGATATCTGAAGGGACTAGCTTGAGACAGATCGAGGAGCATGGGTGACTTATAAAGAGAAAGAAGTACATCTCAATCTGAGAAAGAAGCCCTGAAAAATGATGTGCCAATGGCGAGAAACAAGCTCCATAGTCGGAGTATTTCCTGTTCAATCTCGTGCGAGACGGCAGTCAAATGCAACAAAAAGTATGGGGAGGCGGGGAGCGACAAGGACGATAGGGCTCCGACAGGACCAACAAAAGGGAGCAAAACATGAAGCCCAAAACCTGGTACGCCTTCTTTGTCTACGACTTTACCGGCTGTGTGCCGTGTTTTCGTTTTTTCCCGCCGCCTTTTTTCTTCTTGCCATTCTGACAGCCAGCAACCGAATTGACGCTTTGACTGCCGCTTTGCGTGCATTAAAACATTCGTGTTTGACATGCCCAGCGTTGGGCGACGATGACGGCTGGATTTGCAGAAAAAGAGGTCGACCGGGTTCTGGAAGCATCGCGCATCAAATCCCTGCACCGGAAAGGCCCGGTCTGTGGTCGTGTCGAGGCATGTCCATCAGAGCGTCGTAGCAGTGTTAAAACAGAAGAGGAGAGCAGAATACGTCAGGCCAAGACTGCTTCCATATCTTGTATCTTGTTCCGTTCCATCGCCGCCTACCATGGCTTTCTGTCGTTGCCGATCGGACGTCTCGACCCTCTCGTCTCTACGCCCTCATCGACATATAAGGTTCTGAACATCCGAAATAATGCGCCGCTGTCAGAGACCACTCTGTTCTGGCCCTCAGCCTTTCAATTCCTTGCCTCTGGACTCAAAATGGTTGAGTTGTCAACAACTACCAATACAATAAGCGTCGCAGTAAGCAAGGCACTATGCAGCGTTGATGATCAATGTTTACAGGCAACGATCTGTCTGATTTGCCATGATATACCCTGATGAACGTTCTGTTTTTCTTTTTCTCCGACAGCCAGGACCAGGACGCGGATACGATCGTACGCTTGCTCGCCGACCTTCCAGCCGTTGGCCATCTCTACCATCGACAAAGTGATACTGTACTGTGTTGACCAACCGGATGTCCGTAGTTTTGTTCGATTTCTACATAGACAGCGTCCAGTGCGATCAATCTCTCGGATTTTCCAGCCAAGGACAAATGGTATCATGAAAAGTTGATGCCCTGGTGATGAGACAGACACCAACACCCGGCGCCGCCGGAAGCACGTACATTGTAGACGTCCCCACCAACACCCCAATCTCCTCCCATGTCCCGTCTAAATCTCCTCCATGTCGTCCAGGTCGTCCAGCGGGCCAAACTCGCTGCCCACCTCCACACGCTCCGGCCGCACAAACACCCCCTTCTTCTGTACCGGCGCACCCGCTTTCGGCTCCGCACCCCAGTACCGCGTTCCGCCAATGCTGCCGTCGTTCTTGCCGCCCACGGGCTCGTCCAGCTCCACGCCCACCCACGTGCCCGCGGCGCCCAGCGCGGCCTGCTCGCTTGCGCTCGGGTTCGCCACAATGGTTGCCGCCGCCGCCGCGCCAATCTCCGGCACGTCCCCCACGTACTGCACCACGCCGCGCCGCGTGTCGTCGCCGCCCACGCGGCAGCGCTTGCCCACGGCAATGCCGCGCGCCTCAGCCTCGGCCGCAAAGGCGGCAATGCGCGCGCGCGCGTGCTCGGGCGCATCGGGGTCGAAGCGACCGAGCTTCTGGGCCTTTTTCCACGCCAGAACGCTGTCCGCCTTGGCGGCATAGGCCTCGGCCGGCAGCACGTACTTTTCCACGGCCGACGTGTCGGTGTAGTTGGGCCGCTGTCCCGGCGGGCGCGTGTCCACGACGTGCAGCTCGGCATAGGGGCTCAGGGCGAACTGGGCCAGCTGCGTGGCATCCTCGTCCGCTGCCGCAATGGGCGTTCTTTGCGCGGGGCCCGCAGACGAGGTGGCGCCCGGTACGGCAGCCGGTGCCAGAAACAGCGTCTGTGCCGACGGCGGCACGCCCGTAATGTGCTCGAGCTTCGCCTTGAGCGTCGAAATGGTCCAGCTGGGCGTGATGCGGCGCTCCGACGATGCCGTATCGGAAATGACCAGCATCGGGACGTCGGCCATGTTGACGAGTATTGGAGTAGCGTGTATGTGGTGGACGTGGTGGAAGAGGTCAAATCGACAGGCTGTGACAGGTGCAACGACAATGGGCTGCCTTGAAACGTTGCGCCGTGATACCTTGAAAAGTGTTGGTTTGTAATATGGTGATGAAGCTTGAGGTTAAACAGCTGCCTCTGTAGAGCCGCTAGATGGCGATGTGCAGCTACCGCCACTATGGATGGAGTAGTCAGGGGCAAGTGGAAGGCACCAGAATAAAAACTGGGGAGGCAGTCCGGCTCAATTGATTGGCTGGGAAGGAACAACCCAGCACTACGACCACTAAGAGACAATTGCCATTCTCAGCCTTGCGAGTTGCAGCGTATTTTTGTATATTTTCACGACATGCCGACAAAATGGGTGGAATTGTGAGTTTTTAATCTTCTATAGATACTTTATGCATTTTATAAATCTGTTTAATATTGCGGTCGTAGTGGCTTTTGTAATTGTTTCAGCGAAAGCAAGTAAAGTGAAAATGAAAGTCTAATCTTCCAGTACTGTTTTCTTGATCAGAACTTTTGTTATAATAAAAGAAGTTAAAAACAACACTCAGGCTTTGCTTCGGTCCCTTTAAATCAAGATTCTGTATAGAAGTAGGGTTTTTTTTTCCTTTTATTATTAGCTCAAACGCGGACAACGCAAGAACGGAAAGCCAGACCTACCGTCCCACATTCTGTCCTACGGCCAAACGTACTAGGAAAAGATCGAGTGACGCACGAACAGGGTTCTCCGTTTGTTCCAGAGGGTCAATGTCGTACGGCATCGGGGAACTGGATGAGGTGACGTGGTCCGGGTGGCTGCACAAAAATGAGGTGAAGTCAGTGAGAAGGCAGAGGACAAAGCCGCGACGGACGAAAAGATGTAAGCCAACAAGAGGACGACAATGGTTTTGTTCGAGTGCCAAGCCGTGCAAACGTCTTCCCGATAGT